TTTTTTCTTTTTTCTTTTTTTTTTTCTTCTTCTTTTTTTTTCCCCCCCACCCCCCTTTGAGCTCCCAAACGCAATCCTCTTCAACCCAAGGCTGGGCTCAGACTGCTCCGCTACCCCTTCCTCCCTTTCCTTCCCTACGCCGCCTCATAATAATTGATATTCATGACTATTAATATTACACGACTACTTTAAAGGGAGAATGCAGGACCAAATGGAGCGTGAAGCTGGCAGCCAGCTCGAGAGCTCCCCTACTATTGTAAATGACGTTCATTCAGTGGAGAATTACTCGATGTAATCAGACGAGGGGGGCTGGCAGGGGCAGAGTTTGGGGAGAGGGAGAGGGGGGAAAAAGTTTAGCAGGGAAGAGGCAGAACTTCAATTAACTCGAGCGGGGGAAGACGTGGAAAGCAGACACTGAGCAGGGAAGGGAGATGGAGCAGTGCTGGAGGCGAAGAAGAAGAAAAAAACGTATTTCTTTTTTCTTTTTTTTTCTTCCCCCCCCTCCACCCCCCCTTTTTACGTTTAATTATACATTCCCAATACGGTGAATTGATTGCCTTTGGTGCTTTTGTTCTTGTAGATATATATATTTTTTCTTTTAACAAATAACGAGGAAAATAAGAGGCTTTCCTAATCCTTTCGCTTCTTTTTTATTCTTTTTTTTTTTTTTTTCCTCCCCCTTTTTTATTTTTCCCTCTCAAAAAAAAAGGAAGAAGAAATGCTCACTGACTCCAATCTATCTATTTACAGCGGAGATTAAGCCCTTCTGGTGCGTGTTCCCGACCGTGCTCATTCGGAACAGCCCAATAAACGCTGCAGCGGGGTGAAGTTGGGCTCCCTTCAATTCCGAATCCTCCTCCAGCCCGATACGGAGAAAGAACCCAACCCGCCGTATAGATATGCACATATCTATCCCGATTTTCACCCAAATGTAAAATGTATGCAGTGATTTTTAAAGGATAGTAAATTTCTAGTTTCGAGGCAAAGCCGGGGGCGATGTAAAACCTTTTTGATGTTGCAGGAACTCGTTCAACTGGACTGTCTGCCATTTCTGTTAAAGTTCAACTTACGTTCCTTCCTAAATAGACTCACACTTCCCAGAGCAGCCCCCCCAATCCCCATTACACGCACACACACACTTTTGTTTTAAGAACAGATTCCATTTAAGCGCCTGAGACGCCCCTGTAATCGCGTTCTCAATTAGAAATCGGAAAGAAAAAGGAGGAGAAGGAGGAGAAACACTTTTTTTTTCTTCTTCTTCTTCTTTTTTTTTCCTTTAAGAATCCTTCCTCCTCTTTCAAACCGACCCACAAAAATATTCTTTTGAAAGCTGCCCGCTACGGAATGACCCGGAGCTCATCGGCGGGTTAGGATTGCTCTGCCCCATCCCACCGCTCCCACGGCCGTGGAGGGACGCACGACGCTTCCATCTCCCCTTCCAAAAACCAGAGAGGGAAGAAAACCCCCCGACATTCCCCCACCTCACAGGACGAGAAAAGAGACGTTTTGTCGCCCGCTGCTGCGGCACAGACAATGGCCGGGCTGTGCTGGGGACGGGGAAGCTTCGGCGGGTCTGGGGGCTGCAGGGAGACCCGGACACCCACCGAGCTGCGATGCCGGTTGATAACGAGCCTGAACGCAGCTCGGAAAGCCGGAGATATTGCGGCTCTTTCCCATCCTCACTCCGGCTGCGAAAAGTCGGAGCAGTGCCCTCCCTCTCAGCGTTTTTCTTTCTTTCTTTCTTTTCTTTTTTTTTTCCCCTCTCTTTTCTTTTTATCTCTGTCTGCTTTCCCGATGGAAGTCCGAAGAGATGCGGGACCGCTTTGGGGCTGTTGCAGCTGTGCGGCCCCGACGGCGCTTCCCCGGGCCGGACGGTATCGCCCAAAGCCTTTCCAACACCCCCAACCAACAGCTGTGAGAATCCTTCCCCAATCCTACGAACACCAGCATCACCAAATCCAAATTAAAAATTAAAAAAAAAAAAAAACAAAAAACGAACAGCAAAAATTCATTGACGAAGCGGCAAACCTTTCCCTCCATCTAATTATTATTATTATTATTATTATTATTATTATTTGTTTCCATTTCGGAGCCGATCCAGCGCGCTGCTTTACTTACAAGGAACGCATTCGCGGAGTCGCTTTGGGAAAGATCCGGGCAAAATTAAGAACCGTTTGGCTCTGCTGTGATCCTCCTCCCCCCCAGCACACACACCGTCCCCTCCCGCCTCGCTCTGCTTTTGGACCTCAAAAAAAAATCCCGAGGAGGTCTCTGAAATCAAGCCCAGAACTTTCCGTGCTCGCTTTGGATGGATCGGTTCGGCTGCGTGTACCCAAAGACGTGAGAGAATGTGTGTGTGCTTCGTCATTAGCGCTGGTAGATGAGGACGCGCACATCTTATCTACCGGTGTATGCGTGTAAAAAGAGTCGTAAAAAACGCCATCCGGTCGTGAAAACGAGAAAAAGACAATCTATCTATATATCCGAATTCAGGTAGAGCTTAGATTGGGATCGGAAATTAAGAAACTAGGACAAAAAGAAAAGAAAGAAATGCATCCCGTCCCCGAATAGCAGATCGCGTTTCTCTTCTAATTTCATCTTTTTCCCTCTTTCTCGACATTTGCCCGTATTTAATCGAATTACATTTAATTCGGGCTCTAAACAACCCAACTCTTGCCTTTAAGTTGCCTCATTCCAACCCTCAGATCGTTTCTTTGATGTTTTAAATCGCATCAAACAGCTTTTCCACGAAAGAAAAAAAAAAAGAAAAAAAATAAAAAGGAAAAAAAAAAAAAAGAAAGTTTAGGACTTGACATGCCGGCTACAAATTTGCAAATAAATAAGCATTTAAGCATTTACTGTCTGTTTCCCATCTCTATTTGTGTGTGCGGGTGTCTGCTTCTCTATATCTGAATGTAAGCAGATGCAGAGCTATATATGTATTATATAGTGTGCCTCTATGCAGCTAGATGTATATTTAAATATACATATACTCTCTTACTCATATGCATATTATATACTCACCTCATAGATATCTTCGTACTTGACATTTTCAACCAGTTTCCAGAGCATGATGGCAGGCTGTTCTCTAGGAGGTGAGTGCATTCATGTGAAGAGCAGATGTCTGGATTCTCAGTACTTCTCTGTCTGTAATGATCCATCTATAATTGGAAATGGGGGACAGACACCAAATCCGACGTTCCTCTTCCATCGCAACTTATATCTGTTGTCTGAAACAATAGGCTGCAGAAGTAAACCTCCATCGGATAGTAAAAACATTATCTGTTACATAGTTACATATATCTACAGACATATATGTGACTATATCTCTGCTTATACACACATATAGAGACCTCTGTGCAGGCAGATAAAGACATAAATGCAGTTTCACACACATACACAGGCACACGTACACACTTATATCTCCAAACATATAACTTTTCCCATGTGCAGACATACATAAAGTGACCCATTTAAGTATGTAAATTATATATATTCTCGCTTATGAATGGATTTACATAGGCACATGTATACTACACGTTACATATGCATATAGGGGTGCAAACCTGATCCATTTATACTGGACTATATAGAAAAGCATATGTATGTATTCCTTTATACACCTACCCTTATGTACATGATCAGAGATGAATATTATGTAGTGCATTTACCCGCTATTTTTATAGAGGGCAGGATGGACAGATAGATACACGGATACATAGATAGGTAGGTAGGTAGGTAGGTAGGTAGGTAGATAGATAGATAGATAGATAGATAGATAGATAGATAGACAGACAGATAGATGGATAGATAGAAAGATTAATGGGTAGATAGAAAGATGGACAGACAGACAGACAGGCAGACAGACGGATAGATAGATAGATAGATAGATAGATAGATAGATAGATAGATAGATAGATAGATAGATAGGTAGGTAGGTAGATAGATAGATGGATGGATGGATATACAGATAGATAGACACATAGAATGGAGAAAATAACGCACATTTTTTCAACCCTCTTTAAACTAAAGTAAAGGACAGGCTGTCTCTGCACCAGGCGGTTCATCATTTGCAATGAGATATTACTCTTTCCCCCGCATGCAAGATGCTTTTATTTACATGTCCAGAAATCATCCTCTCCTATGCAGTAAAGCACCAAAGCGGCGTCTCCCCAACACATCCGAGCCAAACTAAGAGGAAGACATTTAGATCAATGGTTTTCCATTGAAAGCCTTTTACTTCGGACTCGGGCTGTCTAATTTAGAACTTGGAAACACTTTCCCTGCGAAAAAAAACGGAGAAGAAACGGAGTTTCGCAAGCCCTCCTCTGCACGCATTTCAATAGCGATTAACTACTTTCTGCTGAACGGTTAAAGCAGAGTTGGGATCTGTGCGGTTCCATGGCAGCCCTCGGTTTGGAAGGGGAGAGGAGGAGTTGGACCATTTGTAGCCTTTATTTCTTTTCTTTTCTTTCTTTTTTTTTTTTTTTTTTGTTTTTTTTTTTTTTT